GGATATTAGTACACGCTAATAGAAATCAATACACACTAATAGACATAAGTACACACTAATGAATATTAGTAAATAGATATTAGGACACGCTAATAGATATTAGTACACGTTAATAGAAATTAGTACACGTTAATAGACATAAGTACACACTAATAAATAATAGTACACGCTAATAGACATTCGTACACGCTAATAGATATTAGTACACGCTAATATATATTAGTAAACGCTAATAGAAACCAATACACACTAATGAATATTAGTACACACAAATAGATATTAGAACACGCTAATAGAAATTAGTACACGCTAATAGATATTAGTACACGCTAATAGATATTAGTACACGCTAATAAATATATTACACGCTAATAGATATTAGTACCCGCTAATAGATATTAGTACACGCTAATGGATATTAGTACACGCTAATAGAAAGCAATACACACTAATAGGCATAAGTACACACTAATGAATATTAGTAAATAGATATTAGTACACGCTAATAGATATTAGTACACGCTAATAGATATTAGTACACGCTAATAGAAATCAATACACACTAATAGATATAAGTACACACTAATGAATATTAGTACACACAAATAGATATTAGTACACACAAATAGATAATAGTACACGCTAATAGATATTAGTACACGCTAATAGATATTAGTACATCCTAATAGATATCACACGCTAATAGAAATCAATACACACTAATAGAAATTAGTGCACACTACTCATAGATAATAGTACACACTAATAGAAATTAGTGCACACTCATAGATAATAGTACACACTAATAGAAATTAGTGCACACATATATAAATTAGTACACACTAATGAATATAAATTAGTACACACTAATGAGATTAACACGCACTCATAGATATTAGTGCACGCAATGAAAATTAGTACACACTAATAGAGATTAATACACACAAATAGAAATTAGTGCACACTCGATAGATATAGTGCACACCAATAGTACCCGACAACCGTACACACTCATAGCCACAAGACGTACCGCTGTGTGAGGTGAAACGCACAGACTGGAAGTAGCTGATGAGGTCACTGAGGTCAGGCACACGCAGTTGACTTCTTTGGGAAAAGAGCGCGTCATTCGAAATATTCGACACAGCCGAAGGCGTCTGCAACAGACCATTGGGTGTGTTAGTGTGTGGTTGTTCTGAGTCATAGCAAGAGTATCATCACAGGTCAGTACGGTTTTAGGGTTTCTAGTCCAGGGGTTCGCTTCTCTCCTGTCGGTTCATAGTGCGGTGTTTGATATACATACACCGCTTTACCGCCATTTCGTGTGCTGTAGCGTCGTCATTGTGTCATATGCAGAGCTCAAAAGGCAAACCCAATGACGCGTGTAGGGTTTCTAGGCTTTGAAGTGCCACTACTCACTTGTAGGGTGACTCATCAGTGTACAACCACAGCCAATAATTGTCACTTGCTGTGTAATCACGGAACGAACGGAAGCGAAACGACGGCAGGCTCCCATTTATATAAAAGAACAACGCAAACGCACAGGCAGGGACTCATATGGGCACACATGCTAAACACTCATATATATATATATATATGGCACACACGTGTGGACGCTAAGGATTATGCACAGAAAGCACACACACACATATCCCCACAGACAAACGTACATCACAAACACTAGCGTAAATATATATATATATATATATATATATATACTTATATATGTGTACACATACACATATACACACATACATACATACATACATACATTTATTCATATATACATATAATAAATATATAATATATATAATAAATATTATGTATATATAATATATATATATATACAAATATATACACATACATATGCAATATAACACGCATATTTGCTTGTGTAAAATCCGACACACACGCCCCATCCTCCCTGGCTAGCGTACCTCGTGCAGCAGTGCTTGAGCCGGTTTGGTGTGCTTGTTGATGCTTTCCACCCACGTGTCTATCTGTGCTTCACTGTCTGGGGGTGCACCTGCTCCGTCGTCTGTGGGTGCGGTTGCTATGACAAATGTGTCGTTGGTAGGCGTCTCTATGCTGAAGTGCGTGGGTGAGAGTTTGCTGACTTTGATCTTCTCGTTGAGCATTATCCGCCTGGCCACTGGTTCACCGTCGTCACCTTGTATCTGCAGACAGTGCATATAAGAGTGCATTTAACATCATGGATATAATATTATAATAGTTTGCAGATTACATGTAAGCGAGTGTGTATCACAATAGTTATAATAGGCACACAGCGGTGTATGTTAGCGTTCTTTTATTGGTATAGCTATGTCTACGAATCCTTGTATTTGTACACGTTGCATGTAAGCGTGTATTCATCGTATAGTTATATCAGGAGTAGAAAACAATACTTCAAAATAGTAGCAAAACCATACATATACCAATCTATCAGCACGAATAAACCATGCACAGGGACAAAGCGCTAGAAGAAACTCAGCACACACACACATCACAGTACCACAACATAAGACATCCATTGCAGAGGGTCTACGTAACACATCACACACACACACACATCACACACATCACACACACACACACATCACAGTACCACAACATAAGACATCCATTGCAGAGAGTTTACTTAACACATCACAGTGCCACAACAAAAGACATCCATTGTAGAAGTCTACTTACCAGCACATCGCCCTTGTCTTCCACCACAGGTTCCACATAAGTCGATGGGAACAGACCCTCTATGCCACCAGGACACTCGCCTCTCCACCACAGACCATCGTCCTTAGACACCACCTGCAAGTGCACGGCAGAGTTAATGATATAAATAGAACAGTAGAGTTATTAATAACAGTAGAGTAAATAATATGAATAGAACAGTAGAGTTAATATAATGGAACAGTAGAGTAAATAATATAAATAGAACAGTAGAGTTAATAATATAATATAGAACAGTAGAGTTTATAGTATAAAATAGAACAGTATGGTTATCAATATAAATGAAACAGTAGAGTAAAAAAATATAAATAGAACAGTAGAGAACAGTAGAGTATATAATATAAATAGAACAGTAGGGTTAATATAAATGGAACAGTAGAGTTAATAATATAATATAGAACAGTTTACATATTAATATAAATGAAACAGTAGAGTAAATAATAAAAATAGAACAGTAGAGTTAATATAAATGGAACAGTAGAGTAAATAATATAAATAGAACAGTAGAGTTAATATAAATGGAACAGTAGAGTTAATAATATAATATAGAACAGTTTACTTATTAATATAAATGAAACAGTAGAGTAAATAATATAAATAGAACAGTAGAGTAAATAATATAAATAGAACAGTAGAGTTAATATAAATGGAACAGTAGAGTAAATAATATAAATAGAACAGTAGAGTTAATAATATAATATAGAAATAATATAGAACAGTACCCGTCAGCACACGTGGTCGCTACGGATCAGTGCGCAGAGCAAGAGATATATTCTAGTGTTTTAGTGTTTTAGGGCTTCGGGGGTTAAGAGTTTCAGAGATATATAGACAGGATTGAAATGAACATCAGGTGTGCTTATACAGAGCAGATGTATATCAGTTCTTAGACACGTGGTGAGATGACCGTTAGCATACAGATGAACGTAAACAAAGCGACACAACGCAACAAATGGTAACGGATCACGCAGGCAGGGTACACTCCCCCGCAAGAGTATCAGCAAAGTGCACCCATCGTAACAAAAGGGACTGATTCAGCCCTAGACACAAGCGGAAGGGACAGCGCACTCTAGGCAAAGCAACAGACAGGGCCAACACATCGTGCGACAGGACAGGCGATGGGCAATCACCTACATGACAACTCAAGAGGGACTGAACAGCCCAATCGTTATATATATAAATATATATAAACAACTACCAGGACACCGATCCTAACTGACTATTTAAAGTTAGGCAACAACAACGGTACACGTGGGCGGTGGTAGGGCGGCGTGTGCGGTTGTTAAAGCGTGGATCACTGGACATACCCTGATCATGGTGCCCTTGGTGAATGAGATTTTCTTTTTGTCGTCGGACTCATAGTCGTACTTGGCTCGCACAACTTCGTACATGGGCGTAGCCTAAAAACAGGGTTAAGGGTTTATGTGCAGGTTTAGTGCATGGGCGTAGCCAAATAACAGAGTCAAGGTTGAGAGGTTCAAGTGTAAGATTGAGGTGTAGACAAAACCACGGCTCCAATGTCCCAAATTAGGCCCATTCGGTTGCAGTGACATACTTCAAATCGTATCGACTTGTAAACACATGGCTGGGAAGAAAAAACAAAGAAACCGAGCCAAGGCTAAGACTACCTGCGATCACACCAAGATGTCTACAACAATGCAAAACGGCAAAATGAAAAGCGTTGAGTGCCTAGAGNTAAACAGATTATATTTA